ATATATATATATATATAATGTATTATATATTATATATATTTATATTATACATATTTAATTTTAATAATTTTTGAAGTACTGGGGGATTGAACCCAGAGGCTCTCGACTACTGAACTACACCTCTAGCCCCTTTTTATTTTATTTTGAGACAGGGTCTCATTAAAATTGCCCAGCTTGGTCCAGAATTGGAGATCCTCCTGACTCGGCCTCCTGAGTCGCTGAGATGACAGGCATGCACCCCCAGCTCTTATAGAAATCTTTTTTTTTTTTTTCCCTGCATTCCTTAGGATGGAATCCAGGGCCTCACACATGCTAGGCAAGCACTCTACCCCTGAGCTGCACCCCCAGCCCAAAAATATATATATATTACTGAGCTTGAAAAAGCATGCATGCCTCTGACCCAACAATTCCATCTCTTGAAATTGGGAACTTAATCCCCATAATTTTAATAATTAAGAGAATAAATTAATAATTATGATAATTGTAGTCATCCAGATAATGGGTAATTAAGGACAAACCGATAATTTAACTAGAGGAATGCTCCTGGAAAAACAAATTAAAATATCTGTCCTGTTTTGGGTGAGAGATCTCAGCGACACCCAGAAAGACTTCATAAGCGTGTACCCTGAGGTGGTGGCCAGGGTGTAGCCAGGGGACCATCTGCATCAAGGTTACCTGGGAATGTGTTTAAGAAGGTAAATTATCTACTGGGAAGGTCGATCAGTGGGAGAGCATTCTTAGCAGGCATGAGGTCAAGGTTCAATACCCCCCCAAAAAAAAAAAATGGTAAAGATGCTTAATTCTGATGTTCATCCTAATTTAAGGACTATGGCCCTAGAGATTATTTCCTTATATATGGCAGTATGGAATGTTTAATATTATATTTTCTGACTTTCCTGAAGTAAGCAGACTTTGCCAACGCAGCACAATGTCTACCTTTGTTGAAGATCACATTATGCCCTATTCGAATAATTATGTCTCAATTTAATTTTTTTTTCTGTATCCCAAGGGGCACTTTAACACTGCACTACATCCCAAGCCCTATTTATTTTTATTTGGAGGCAGGGTCTCATTGAGTTGTTTAGGGCCTTGCTAGGTTGCTGATCTCAAATTTGTGATCCTCCTGCCTCAGCCTCACAAGTTGCTGGGAATACAGGTGTGCACCACCATGCCCACATGGATTTAAATTTAAAACATTTTGTTTTAAATTTTTAGTGGTAGTTGGGCACAATGACCTAACTTCCTTCCCCTAAGTCCCGCCTTTTAAAGGTCCCACCACCTCCAGATAGCGCCACCATTTAGGTCCAGGACCTTATGCAATTCTAAGCAAGCACTCTACCACCGAGCCATACCCTGGCCCCTTAACTCTGCATTCTTTATGGTACCTATTTCTACCACCATGATGGATCTCAAATTCACCTAATACTTGCTTATTCATTTAGAACCTTCTGTTTTGTCTAAAATCCTGAAAACTTCCACGGCTACCTAAAGCTTTTATTTCTGTGATGCAGTGCTGGGGATGGAACCCAGGGCCTCGTGCATCTTAGGCAAGTGCTTTGTCACTGAGCTACGCTGCAGCTTGCTTGCTTCATTCATTCATTCATTCATTCATTCATTCATTCCTTTATAGCGGGGATTGAACCCAGGGACACTTCGCCACTGATCTCTATGCTCAGTCCTTTTTATTTATTTCGAGACAGAGTCTCCATCAGCTGCCTAGGCTGGCCTTGAACTTGGAATCTTCCTGCCTCAGCCTCCCAAGGACAAGGGGCTTGCACCACTATGCATGATTGGCATCCTAAATCTTGGTAGCTCTCTCTCTCTCTCTCTCTCTCTCTCTCTCTATCTGATGTCTCAGAATGCTGGAAGCAAAATCAAAAAGGCACTGAGGCCTGAGGGTACGTCTCTCACATTGGTAAGGGAAGACATCTCCCCAAGTCCAAGGGCAAAGCCCCCCCAGCTCCATCGAGCTGACCTTGCATTTGGGAAAAGAGCTCTGCTTTCCATACGAAAGGTCAGGGGTGCTCCACACCCAACAGGGACAACAGAGGCCAATGCCAGCCCACCTGGCAGGAGCAGGAGCCAGAGTCAACAGTTGACTCTCAGCTCAGTGTTTTCCTTCGTTGCTAGGAAACCTCCAGACGCCGCTGCTCAGTGACTAGCGCCCTCTTGTGTTCACGCGCGGTAATAACACCTACAGTTGAGCCAGAAGCAAATATTTCTCTCCTCCTATTTTCTAGGCTTTTTACTTGCTCATTAGCAAGATGTCAATGGTTTTTATTTAGTGCATCACCGGAATCATTTTGTTCTGGAATAAACCATTCCAAAAACGATCGAGGATGTGCTCACAGTTTGAAAAAATAGCCATAAAAAGCCATATGGCTCTACTCAAGGAAAATGTCGTTTATTCCTTTTCATTGCTGTGTGATATTTCAGTATATGATGACATCACCACCTGGGCTATTTCCAGGTTGGGGCTATTTTGGACAGTGCTGATGTTGATGTTGATACCCATGTTGTGCTGAGTTATGTCTCCAGGCGACGTACCTAAGAATAAAATTGCTGGACCACGGAATAGTTGTGTTATCTTTGACTTGATTAGATAATGCTCAACAATTTTCCAAAAGTAGATGAACAAATAAACGTACATTCCCATCCAGCAGGAGATCTTCATTCTAACTGCTCTCCAGGGTTACCTTTGATATTATCAGACATTGATTTTCACCAACCTGGTGGTTATATGGGGTAGCTCACTGTCATTTTATGTTTTTGTGAAACTGAGGATTGAATGCAGGGGTGCTCTACCACTGAGCCATATCTCCAGTCCTTTTTTATTTTTATTTTTTTATTTTGAGAGAAGGTCTCACTTTCTGAGGCTGGCCTCCAACTTGTGATCCTCCGACCTCAGCCTCCTGAGTCGCTGGGAATACAGGCATGTGCCACCTTGCCTACTGCTATTGTTTTTCCCTAGAATGAATGAAATCAAGAACCGTTTCCTTCCGTTTTGGAGATTCCAGTGCATAATTGTTTGGGCAAATACTGGGGAAAACACATCATGGTGAGAGCCCATGGCAGAGAAGAAACACTCATCCCATTGCCAGGAATCAAGAGAAAAGAGGGTCTCCCTCTATGCTAAGGGCACGCCCCCAATGATCTAAAGACCTCTCATAAGGCCCCGCCTCTTAAAGGGTCCATTTCCCAAACTACAACATGTACCCATCTTCACCCAATTCACACCTTGCGTGGCCCCAGCACACTGGACTTCTTAATTGATTGTGGGCATGATATCTGCCTTCGCTCCTCCATGCCTGTACCTTCGGCATGGACAGCCCTTCCCTGTCTACCTGGTGAAAATCCAGGTCCAATGTCAAGTGCTTTGTCCAGTTTTCTAGACTCAACCAACAGCACTTTCTTCTTCCAAGTCTGGTCCTGGCCCAGATCCTCTGGAGTGGACAAAGGACCTCAGGATCTGTGTCAGGAGACGGGGACAAACAGCTGCTACTGCCCCTGTGAGCTTGTCTTCTGTCCCCCCAAGGAAGATGTCTTGCATGGCCTCGAAATACTCACTACCCCATCCTCCTTCCCTGGGACCACAGGAGAAACCCAGTCGGCGGGGTCCAGGACACTAGAAGCTAAACTCAACCTCCCCGCTGCGGCCTCCATTTCCGAGCCGGCCTTCCTGAGCTCAGGATCCAATGCTTTATTTTTAGATCACACACTGCAATGGGGCTGGGGCTCCACCCGCTGCCTGACATGTAACCGGACCCCAGGTTGGCACTGGCCATGAACTCCAGCCACAGAGGAGCTTCGAGAAGTCCGGGGTCCTGCCGGGGCTGGGTCCCTGGGAGGCTCAGCTGGGATCTGGAGAGAGTGTGGGAGCCCCTCTCCTTGGACAACCTCCCAGGGGGGGAAGTTGACCAGCGAGAACTGAGGTTGGACTTGTGTCCCCACCGTGCAAAAACCCAACAGGGGAGGACAGAAGACAGAGTTGTCCTGCTTCTGTTTCTCCTTTGTGCTCCGTGTTCCACTTGGTGCATCTGCCACCGTCTTAACACAGTGGAGGTTCCTAGCAGGCAGTCAGCTCAGGGCCTTCAGGCCACGCCCTCTGGTTGACCACGCCCTCCGGTTGACCACGCCCTCCACTTGACCACGCCCTCTACTTGACCACGTCCTCTACTTGTCCATGCCCTCTACTCGACCACGCCCTCCACTTGACCACGCCCTCTACTTGACCACGCCCTTACTCGACCACGCCCATACTTGGCCACGCCCCCACTTGACCACGCCCTCGCTTGGCCACGCCCCGGCTTGGCCACGCCCCTTACATGCTTCAAAGCGGGCACCAAATATGTTCTTGGACTCCAGAAACCAGGGCATAATATTTAGTTGACTCTTTCAGTGCAGGAGAGTGTTTATTTGAATTGATGGCTTTGGGGACAGCAGGGCTGAGGGAAAATTCCCAGGGGCTGTGGTGTTGGTCCCCTTCTTCTTACCTGCATCAGGTTCACTGGGGGGGGGACCCAGGCTGGTGGCTCCATGGCTCTGGGTAGTGAGCTCTGCCCCAGGGTGGCTCTTTGGACCTCAGAGCGCATCAGCATGGTCTGAGATTTTGGAAGAAACCAGAAGCCCAGACAGAGCGCCCACCTGGAGGGTCCCCTGGGCTCTTGGGCCCTCTGCCCAGAACCATCGCTTTGCAGAAACTTCCTGCTGCTCCGGGTGCCTGGGAAGGGCTCAGGCCCGCGCCCTCCCTCTGCCCTCCACCCTGGCAGCTGGATGGAATTCTGGGGCTGCCCAAATGATGCCCCGGCCTGGGCTCCTGCCAAGGTCCAGCCCACATGGAAGGAAAAGAACTCTCTTGATTGCTTTGGGATGGCCTCCTGTGGTCTCCCAGAACGTGGCTCTGTCCCCGTGGCCTCAGTGGGTCTTCTTGAACCCTGGAAAGCAAAGCCAACAGGATGCACAGAGAGGCCCTGGACCCTTCTGGGGCCACACAGCTACTAAACAGGCCCCAGGTAGGATTGACTCCCGAGTCCCCTGCCTTGGTGGGGTATTTCCTAGAGATGCCAAATCTCCTTTCCTAACAGGGGAGAGGAGGAAAAAATACCCAAATTTACCTATTAACTTCTGGAAGAGGGGGATGAAGCCCTGCAGGACGCTGTGGACACGGTACACTGCTCAGAAACAGAAAGAAAGGCCGGTCAGGGCTGTGCCGGAGCAAGGGGTCCATGCCCAGGCCCACCCTCCTGTCCACCTGGGAAGAAATCAGGAGCATAAGGGAATTTAAAAAAATAATTAACAATAAGTTGAGATGGTCACTCTCTAGTCCGTGGTCAGCACAGATGGCCATCCCTGTGGATCCATGCATGCATGGGCAAGCGCACACGTGCTCATGAGGTTTGGGGTACCCAGGGGGGCTTACCCAGCCCAAAGTAGATGCCCATGGTCTCTAGAGAGGCGAAGGTGAGCAGGCCGACCCCGAGGGACATGAACCAGTCTGGAGGACAGCAAAGGAGAGCCTGGTCAGCCTACAGGTCTGCAGGGCCCTGGCCTCCCCCACAACCCCTGCGGCCCTCTCCCAGTTTTCCAGGGGTCCTCACCCGCATAGTAATGGTAGCACACCAGCAAGGCCCCAATGGCGAAGCACAGAAGGACAAAGTGGAAGAACTCGTCTACAAAGGAAAAGCCACAGGGTCACAGCCTCCTTCCCTCTCCCCTCCCTCTTTAGGTGGTCCTGGGGACAGGGACCTTGTGCTCTGCTGCTGGGCTACACCCCCCCGTCCTCTCTTGCTTGATTTTGTTGGTTTTGATGGAGACGCGGGGTCTCCCTATGTTGCCCAGGCTGGTCTCGAACTCCTGTGCTCAGGCAATGCTCCTGCCTCAGCCTCCTGAGGTGCTAGGACTGAACGTGGGCCCGGTGGCCTCTTTTTTTGGTACCGGGGATGGAACTCAGGGGCACTCAACCACGGAGCCCCATCCCCAGCCCTATTTTGCATTTTATTGAGAGACAGGGTCTCACTGAGCTGCTTAGGGCCTCACCATTGCTGAGGCTGGCTTTGAACTGGAGATCCTCCTGCCTCAGCCTCCCAAGGCAATGGGATTATAGGCGTGTGCCAAGGTGCCCGGATCTTTTTTTTTTTTTTCCTGGTATTGGAGATTGAACCCAGGACCACTCTACCACTGACTTACATCCCTGGCCCTACTTATTTATGTATAGACAGGGTCTTGCTAAGTTGCCAAGGCTCACTGGTGACTTAGGGCCCCCCAAATTTCCACCCCTCCCAAAATTGTAAAAGTGTGCAATGAAATCCAGGTACGGAGGTGCACACCTGTCACCCCAGCAACTCAAGAGGCTGAAGCAGGAGGATCAACAAGTTCGAGGCCAGCCTCAGCACCTTCGCAACTTAGTGAAACCCTCTCTCGAAATCATAAAAAAATAAAAAGGGTGAGAGATGTCGCTTAGTGCTAAAAAGCCCCTGGGTTCCATTCCCCAGTACCGAAAGACGAACCACAACACACACACATACACACACACACACACACACACCATGTTTAAAGTTACAAAAGTGACCAAGGTCAGCTCCCTGAGTGGGGTGCCAAGGCTGCAGGAAATGTCCAGCACAGACTCTGATGTGCTCTGAAGCTTTGGACAACTGTCCTGACCTCTCTGAGCCTCCGTGTTCTGATGGATACAACTCAAGGTCAATGATAGGCTCTTGGATGGGAAAGTGACCCCAGACAGCACGAATGTTGCAAACCACTGCTATCAAGGGCATTTTGAAAGCAAGTAAAAGAAAGGTGGGGAGGGGCAAAATTGTTTGCTCCTAGGGGAAAAAAAAAATCGAAATGAATATTTCTAGAACATTCTTGGCTCTGAAGTCCGTTACGCTTTAGAGGGAAAATGTCCACCATGCAGAACTAGACACCGTGTAAGAAGAAAGAATCCGACTTAGGTCTCTCTGGAGACAGACAACCTGGACCATGAGGGGCATGAGCAAACATTTTTTTTCTTCTTTCTTCCTCACTTGATTTCTCAGCAATGCAAAATGGATTCCCAACAGAGATGTTCTCCCCGAATCTATTTTCTCAGGAAAAAAAGAAACAGCATACTACAGGGAAACAGCCACATGGATGTTTATAGCAGCACAGTTCACAATAACTAAACTGTGGAGCCAACCTAGATGCCCTTCAGTAGATGAATGGATTTAAAAAATGTGGCATATATACACAGTGGAATATTACTCAGCAATAAAAAAGATCAAAATCATGGTGTTTGCAGGTAAATGGATGGAGTTGGAGAAGATAATGCTAAGTGAAGTTAGCCAACCCCCAAAAAACCAAATGCCGAATGTTTTCTCTGATATGAGGAGGCTGACTATAGTGGGGTAGGGAGAAGGAGCATGGGAGGAATAGAACTCTAGATAGGGCAGAGGGGTGGGAGGGGAAGGGAAGGGGCAGACTGTGCTCGAATACACAGGGGCGAGGGAGGCCCATTTCTCCCTCTGGGGTGTGACATCTTCTAAAACAACTCGGACATGGCCTGCACTTTTGAGCCCCTTTTGAGGCACTTGGCACCCGAGTGACCTCACATACAGCACAAAGAGCACAGGACCAGCGTTCAAGTCCAGGCCGTGCCGTTGGGTAGACATAAGTCACCCTCTGATCTTGAGCCTCCGTTTCCACATCTGAATCAAATCAGAATCACTGTCGCAGCTTCTTGGGGTGATTCAGGGCTGAGGGGTTTACCCACTGCAGGGCTATGGTCACCACTGTCCTAGGCCACCAGTCACTTTGTCCCCACAGCAGCTTGGAGCAGCCAGGCACACGGGCTTGGGAACAGCGTTTCCTTACCATCTTTCTTTATGTTCAGTCTTTGTAACTCAGAGGCCGCCTCCTCTTCTCCTTGGGAATAAAAGACAAGTATGTTTAGTTTTTAGTTTTTTTTTTTTTTTTGGTACCAGGGATTGAACTCAGGGGCACTCGGCCACTGAGCCCCCTCCCCAACCCTATTTTGTGTTCTATTTAGAGACAGGGTCTCCCTGAGTTGCTTAGGGCCTCACTAAGTTGCTGAGGCTGGCTTTGAACTCGCGATCCTCCTGCCTCAGCCTCCTGAGCTGCTGGGAGGACAGGCGTGGGCCCCCGTGCCTGGCTAAGTGTTTGGTAAGGATGGCAGGGGGCTTTCTCTTCCCTGCCTTGCTGAGCACTGGTCTCCCGGATGCTTCCTTGTGGGTCGAAGGACACGCACAGCAGCCAGGAGCAGCAGCAGCCACGGGAACCATGAATCTGGAGGCCGGCTGGCCTTCACCCTCTTCCCTCCATGGGCCTCAACCTGAGTTCTATTCCATCCTCCTTGTTCTGGAAGCTCATGGTGACATTGTGGCTGATGACCACATCCCTGCTGGGACTGACCGATCCTCTCAGGCCATCTGTAGTCCCTCCTATGCCCTGAAGCCCAGGTCCCCTCCTGCTCTCCCCAGGGCTGCGTATTTACCACTTGCTGAGTCTGAGCCTCGCCTTCGGATTCCTGGAATAGAGAAGCCCAAGGTTAGTGGCCAGGCCAGCTTGGGGTCCTCAAAAGGCGTCTCCACCCTGGGGAAAGCCAGAGGTGGTGACCTGTCAAAATTCTCCAGCCACAGAAGATTCCTCCTGTCTGCCAATGGCTGACCGAATCCCCCCTTGCCTTTGGCCTAGACCCCCTTTCTAATCTCCACTGGCTCCTGGCCTCAGGCTGTGGCCAGTCCTGCCTGCTTGCTGAGACCAGGCCAGAGCTCCAGGGCCCCAAGAGGCCTTGGGGTCCTGTCTCTCATAGCCACTCACAGTGGTAGTGGATGGCCCTTGGGAGAGAGGTGACACCCAGACCTTGCTCGGCACGGGCAGGGGTGAGCCCTCGTCCCTGCATGGACACACTCACCTGATTCCCCGGAGACCATTACTTCTCCACCTGCACAGAAGGAAAACCAGGGGTCACTACCCATGATCCTCTGGGGGGCAGAGGCTAGGGAGGAAGGTGGGTCCCAGTGAGGATCAGGGGGAGTCGGGAGCACATGAAATGAGGGGAGACCCCAACCGTATAATTTATTAGCATCCTGGAGGCCTCGAGGGTAAAAAAGTCATCTACTAATAGATGACTATATTTTTACCTTTTCTATAGTGATAAAAATCACTTTTATTATATATATAAATAAACACACATATGTATTAGGGGGTTCTGGGAATCGAACCCAGAGGTCTTCTACCCGTGAGCCACACCCCAGCACTTTTTATTTTTGAGAAAGGGCCTCCCTAGTTTGCCCAAGCTGGCCTCAAACTTGCAAATCATTCTAATTCCACCTCCTGAGCTGTTGGGATTATAAGCCTCTAGCTCCAGGGATTGAACCCAGGGGCCCTTCACCACGGAGCCCCATCCCCAGCCCTTTCTATATTTTATTTACAGACAGGGTCTGACTGAGTTGCTTAGGGCCTCACTAAGTTGCTGAGGCTGGCCTCGAACTCGCAATCCTCCTGCCTCAGCCTCCAGACCCGCTGGGATTACAGGGGTGAGCCACCACTCTGACTTGCCTAACATTTTTAAACAGCCCAGCATGCCCAGAGGAGTACTGATCTTGTCCCATTTTGCTGATTGGGAAGGTGAGGCCCAGAAAAGGTTGAGTGACTTGTCTAGGTCCTCCTATAGCTCAGAAGAGAAGGGAAGATTTCCTACAAACAAGTCTCAGCAAAGGGAAGACACCCCGTGTGTCCCCACATGCCCTCTTTAAGCACTCGACCACCCCCATCGACTTTTGCCAAAGCCCTGAGTCCTCAGGTCCTCCTGATTCTCTTTTTTCCAAAGGTTCTGGACACCACTTACCTCCATAGAGCTGAAGTTCATCCTTCAAAATGTCAGGGACCCCGTGCTCAGCACCTGAGTGGAGACAGTCCTCTTAGGTCAGCTGTCCCCAGACACAGTGTCCCAGGGCCATTTCCATCACTCATGGGTCTGAAGCCGGAGAAACTAACACAGTCCCAGGGCTTGGAGGCGAGGCAGCTTAGCCTCACGAGGGCTCTCAGCCTCCAGAGAGAACTCCGTGCAGTTACCCATTCTACAGATAAGGAAACTGAGGCTCAGGGGATCGATTAGGGCTGGGGTGTACTTCAGTGGTGTATCCCATAGCAGTGTGCTTGCCTAGCATGCATGAGACCCTGGATCTGACCCCCAGCACCGGGGATCAAGGGGGAGAAAAGCTGAGTTGCTTATATGGCCTCACTAAGTTGCTGAGGCTGGCCTCGACCTCGCAATCCTCCTGCCTCAGCCTCCAGAGCCACATGTGGTTTATATAACCATATGTGGGAATTTTCACCAAGTATTTATGATCTCGAATGAATTCTACGATTTGTCATCTTTCTCTCTGACTTCCCCAGGAAGATGAAGAACAAGAGCAAGGGGGAAGTCCTGTGCCTACCAGGTGACCTGTCCCGGAGGGGGTGTCCAGGCCCTGGGCTCCGTCCACGTCCACGTTTCCCAGGAACTCTGAGGTGCCGGTCCTCATCGCCGCTATCTGCAGGGTTAACAAGCACAAACCGGCTGTGGGAGAACCTCAGGTTGGGATTTTTAGAACTTTTTCTTTTTTTAGGAGAAGGAGTTTTGCTTTGGGGACTGGGGGTTATGAGACCTGCCTCTTTTTCTGTATCACTTCATCTTTCTTTCTTGCTTGCTTTCTTTTCTTTTCTGACAAAGCCTTGAACCTGGGGCACTTTCCCCCCTGAGCTACATACCCCAGTTCTTTTTATTTTGAGACAGGGCCTGGCTGAGTTGCTGAGGGTCTCACTAAGAGGCTAAGGCTGTCCTCAAACTTGTGATCCGTTAGCCTCCGTTTTCTGAGTCACTGGAATGACAGGCAGGTGCCACTGAGCCTGACGTCTCTTTTTATTTTTTAAATATTTGTAGTATTTAATACCTTTATTTTATTTATTTTTATGTGGCGCTGAGGATCGAACCCAGGGCCTCACACATGCTAGGCAAGCGCTCTACCACTGAGCCACCACCCCAGCCCCCCAAGGGTGATTTTTTCCTCCTATTTCACTATTGATATTTCTATTTTGATTCCTATATCTCTTTATTTTTTTCAGTGCTGCGGATGGAACCCACAGGTGCTCTACCACAGATGCCGGTCATTTTTTTTTTAATTTGGAGACAGGGTTGCTGAGGCTGGCCTTGAACTTGCGATCCTCCGGCCTCAGCCTCCCAGGTTGCTGGGATTGCAAGTGTGCGCCACTGCACCTGGCTTCCATTCCTATATTTCCTGCAATATCTTATAACTGAAAACAAAACTTCATTTAAAAACCATTAGGGGCTGGGGACGTCCCCACGTGGTACAGCGCTTGCTTGCCTGACATGGACAAAGCCCTGGATTTGATCCTGATCAGTGGTGGGTCTGTTGCTTTAATAGGGAGGTGGCTATTTTTGGGGGGGCGGGTACCAGGGATTGAACTCAGGGGCCCTCCACCACGGAGCCCCCTCCTCAGCCCTATTTTGTATTTTATTTAGAGACAGGGTCTCACTGAGCTGCTTAGGGCCTCACCACCGCTGAGGCTGGCTTTGAACTCAAGATCCTCCTGCCTCAGCCTCCTGAGCGGCTGGGATGTCAGGCATGACTCTCATACTTTTGTTTTAGACAATTATTTATTTATCTTAGGTGGTGCTGAGGATGGAACCCAGTGCCTCACATGTGCTAGGCCAGCAATCTGTCACCAGGTCACAACCCCAGCCCAATTTTTATGCATTTTAGATGAATAAAGAATACATGATTTATTTATTTATTTTAAGCAGGACTGGGATGGAACTCAGCGCCCCCAAGCATGCTAGGCAAGTGCTCTGCCATTGATCTACAGGGCCACCCCTAACACCATTGCTATACCTGAGGAGGAGGAGGAGGAGGACGACGATGAGGAGGAGGAGGAGGATGAAGAGGAGGAGGACTTGTCTCTCTCATATTGCTTTCGGGGAAAGAGTTCAGACTTCCCATGTTGCTTGTGGAAATCTGTCTCTCCATCTGGGAGGCACACACAGGCAAGGGGTGAGTGCTTCTGGCCTTTCCCACCCGGGGACCAGCAGGGGTCCACTCGGACCCCGGGGGTGGTAGAGGGTCAGGAGGGACAGATGATCTTCCCAAACATCTAAGGTCAATGGAAGGTGCAGGGGTTCAAGGATCTCAGAGATCCCATGGGATCCAAAGGCCCAGGGAATTGTTCTGAATATGGGCTCCAGAAAAGAGGATCTTAAGCCCCCTCCCCTGCCCAGAGACCACTAGACACTGTAGAGTCTGCCACTTGGGATTCTCTCTAAATTACTCTGTAAGTTACTGGGAAGCTGGGATCCCCGTCACACCCCCAACCTTCCCATACCCCATTCCGGGGCCACTGAGGATCCTTCCCATCCTCGCAGGACCCTCCCTAGCGCCAGCCCAAGCCCCTAACAAGGCCATGAGATTTGGGAAATAATTAAGGGTGCCCTCAGCTACAAAGCGTTGGGAGACAGACTGGACCGATTACGTGTGTGTGTGTGTGTAAAATCATTTCAGCTATGATTTGAGCCCCTGCACCAAATAAGCTGAGCAAGGTCTTCTTCGATCCCACCTCCTCCTGGATCCCACTTGCCAAGTGGCTTTGCCCAGAGGATCAGAGAAGGCAAACATACGGTCTAGATCTTGTGTCTCTTTGTGGATTTGATTGTCGTCTTGAGAGTGGGAGGAGGATCCTGAAGCATCCATGGCTTTTCCCCTGGAGGATAAACAATGATAATTAATTTCACTTTAGCTAATGTCCTTAATATATAAAGAGCCTGGCAAGCAAATAAGAAAAAGACAGGGGCTGGGGCTGGAGGTCAGTGGTAGACTGCTTGCCTGGCATGCATGAGGTGCTGGGTTCTATCCTCAGTACCACATAAAAATAAAATAAATGTATTGAGTCCACCTATAACAAAAAAATATTTTTTTTAAAAAAAGACAAACACCCAAGATTTAAATATATAAGAAAAACAACTCATAAAAAAAAGAAATATAGGGCTGGGGTTATGGCTCAGTGGTAGAGCGCTTGCCTAGCATACGTGGGGCACTGGGTTCAATCTTCAGCACCACATAAAAATAAACAAATAAAATAAAGGCATTCTGTTCATTTATAACTACAAAAGAATTTTAAAAAATAAATATACCAATATTTGACTAATGATCATCTTTTGAAAACATTAAGAACATTTTCTTAGGTATGATATTTATATTGGTGTATGTGTTATATTGGTATTACATTTATCCTTAGTTTTACTGACACATGGCCAAATATTTCAGATAAAATATATGATTTTGGAAACTGCTTCAAGATAATCTTGTTGGGACGGGGCACAGTGGTGAACACCTGTCATCCCAGCCGCTCGGGAGGCTGAGGCAGGAAGATCTCGAGATCAAAGCCAGCCTCAGCAATGGTGAGGCCCTGAGCAACTCAGTGAGACTCTGTCTCTAAATAAAATAAAAAATAGGGCTGGGGATGGGGCTCAGTGGTCGAGTGCCTCTGAGCTCAATCCCTGGTACCAAAAAGCAAAAAAAAAAAAAAATTGTTGGAGAGTTGAGAGGAATAGAAAGAGGATCCTAAAACTAAATATATGATTATAAATTGATAACTTTCGAAGCTATATCAAAAAAATAAATAGTGATTTTTCTCTGGGTGCTATTATGGGTATTTTAATTTTCTTACTTATGACCTTCTATTCTCTAAATTGAGAACAGTATTGCTTTTGTTAGACTAAAACAACCAATAGTGTTCATTATTTAAAAATGCAACATGCTTATATCACTATAGCACTTAGCTTTACAAAGGGCTTATGTGTCCTGAATTCCATCTGCACCCAATAACAAACCAGTCAGGCAGGAATTGGGATTAATCACTCCTCACATTTGAAAGTAATTTGCAGACAACAGAACATTTTCCCAAAAGATTGTTGCCTTTGTTTTTTTATAATAATTCCATAGAGGAGGGCACTGGGGCAGATATGGAGTGGCTTGTGTTGGAGGGACTCCAGTGTTCAAATTTTATTTAATGCACTTGAAAACATCGGTCCAGGGCACGATGGAGTCAGGCTGGAACCTGATTATTTATGGACCAAAATGACTATAAATGGTCAAGGTGAGGACAAGAAGCAGCACTTAAGGTGCAGAGGGAGGTTTGGAAATATGTCCCTTTAGGACACCATATTCTGTGTTTTCTTGAACTCTGGAGGGGTAACTAGAGGTGGGCCTTCCGATGGCACCACAGTAGGCCATAACTGGAAAAAAAAAAATCCAAACATCTAACTCCAGCAAGCAGATGCTTCCCTGGGGAACTTGGAGCCAGACTTGATTTTTGCTGGGCACAGGCTCACCCAGCTGAAGACTACATTTCCCAGAATCCCTTGCACCTGGGGGTAGCCACGTGACTACATCCTTGCCCGTGGCACATGCGCAGATGTGGTATGTGCAGTGGTGTGTTGAGAAATGGGTAGTGGCCCTGGGGGCAGGGGAGTGTGTACCTAGACATGGGTATAAATTTTTGTTATAAATTTTTATATAAATTTATATAATGTTATAAATTTTTCATTGTTATAAATTTATAAATTATAAATTTTTAATTAGGCTTGTTATAAATTTTTCTGATGTAACTATTTAGCATGCAGTTTACAAACCAGAAGACAACAGAAATCCCATATGTCTATGCCTTCAGTGTAACATGGTATTTCATAAAAAAAAAAATTAAATTAAATTTAAAAAAAAACCTACTATAAACTGCCAATGAGAATGTCGCAAAATCAGACTTCAAATAAGTGCCTGATGACTACCCAATTCAGCAGAGATGCGGCAAAGAGGTTGCTTGGTCTTAATGTTGGCTCATTTTTTTCTTTGACACTGATCTAAGACGACAGTTTAACTTTCTATCTGAATATTCTCATTTTCTTGATGGCTTTCTTAAATTTAGACAATCAAGCTCTGATGTGTGGTTGACTGATTTTCAGGGGCGTAAAGACTTTAGCGTGGCAGTGCACACCTGGTATTGCAGTGGCTGGGGAGGCTGAGGCAGGAGGATCCCAAGTTGGAGGCCAGCCTCACCAAAGGCAAGGCACTTAGCAACTCAGTGCTAAGAGACCCTGTCTCTAAGTAAAATACAAAATAGAGCTGGGGATGTGGTTCAGTGGTCGAGGGCTCCTGAATTCAATCCCTGGCAATTAAAAAAAAAAAAAAAAAAAAAAAACAGAAAAAACCACTCTACTGTGAGGGATTTCAAGGTCTCTCGTGACATGGTTGAGCACATCTGGGAGGAACAGCACAGTAATGCACATGGCACAGTATCCCACCAACTGGGTACAAAAGACGCAAATGTTCTGCAGTGCTCAGATAACAACTGAGAATGCAGTAAAATAAACAAAGAAGTGGTATATGTGAAGCACTTATTTTCTTTTTCACATCATCTAATGGTCGTGTTTAACAACTAGCTCTCCAAATTCCTGAACATTTAACAACCGGCTCTCCTGACCAGCACCTCCTGGCTCCAGCTGCCTCTAGGTCAACTCCTGTTGGTATAGGAGCTTCCTCTTTCCTGCTTCTTACGTGCAGGAACGCCAAGCTACTGCATCCTTGAATGTAAGACTTGGGGTGCCAAATAGGCTCCAGTCAACACCCTGGGAGTGGCTGAGCCAAAAGGCAAAGGGAACCCGGTTCCTGCTAAACCTCATGTGCAGAGCTGCCAGCCTGCCCGGACCTGCCCACCCTTGAACTGCTTTGAGCACAAGAAATAAGCTTCTCTCTTCCTTGTGCCCCTGTGTTTGGGGCCTCTTTGTTATAGCAGCTTAGCTTAGCGATGCTGACTACATTCTGATTCCTACCCTAGTTCTCCTCCTACCTTCATTCCCTATGAAGACCAAAGCTTCTCACCTTAGCACCGAATACATTTAGAGCCAGATAATCTTTGCTGTCATGTACTGTAGGATGTTTAGCAGCTCCCGGGCCTGGAGGACCAACAGCACCCCTTCCACCATTTGGATCATTCCATCTGCAGGGGTTGGGGTTGTAACCCAGTGGGGCAGTGCTTGCCTCTCAGGGGTGAGACCCTAGGGTTCAAAAATCCCAAGCACCACACACACACACACACACACACACACACACACACAGTCTCCAGTCATTGCCAAGTATCCCCCCCCCCCGCCGCCACCCCAGGGCCAAAGTCACCCTCGTGAGAACCACTGGTTTATCAAGGTAGGAAAGACTGTCACAGCCATGGAAGTTTGGGTCAGTTGCTCAACCTCTTGCTGAGCCTCAGTTGGCTCCTCTGTGAAATGGGTGACAGTAACCATACTCATTAAATTGTATAGGTATGCAGATGGCACATGTTTAAGCACACAAAGCATTTGGAACAACCGTTGGTATACAGCAAGTGTTAACCAAATGCCAGCCAGAGATGGGTACGTGTGCAAAGGGACAATATTTGATGTGTAGCAAGAGCATGTGCTTTGGGGTTGAATCGATCAGGCCCCAACCCTACTACTGTGCACAGGCTTGACCTTGACCTTGGCAGTGCAGTTCACTTCTCTAATCACCTCATATGTAAACTGGGATGGTGGGACCTTGACAGAGAGTTAGGTGACCTGTTGATGAGGGAACCCAGGGCCTCGCATAAGTGTCTCCTTTTCTATGTGCCGTAGTTTGGATTTTTTTTTTCCCATGGGGGGGTGCTGAACTTGGGTGGTCTACCGCAGAACTCCACCCCCCATCCTTTTTATTCTTTATTTTGCCCAGGCTGGCCTCAAACTTGCAACCCTCTTGCCTCAGCCTACCACGTCACTGGAGTTACGATGTGCACCATCATGCCCGACTCAAGAGTTTAGATCTTGAACATCCCCCAAGGGCCCACGTATTAAAGGCTTCATCCCTAGAGTGGCACTTTTTGGAGGTGGTGGAACCTTTAAGAGGCGGAGCCTAATGGGAGGTCTTTAGGTCTTTAGAGACACGCCCTTTTCTATGAGGATGGTAGGACCCTGGTCTCTACCTTTCTCTCTCTTTTGCTCCCTGGCCAGGAGGGGAGCAGTTCTGTTCTATCACACAGTCCCATCATGATGTGCTGCCTCCCCACAGGCCCAAAGCAACAGGGCCAACTGCTCATGCATTGGAATGTTCAAAACTGTGAACCCAAATAAGTCTTTTTGTCTTTTTAAGTTGATTTATCTCAGACATTTTGTTATACTGACGGAAAGCTAATACGATCCAACTCCAACAGAACTCCTGTTACCTTCAGTGTCTAGCCCCAGCCCCGCACATCCCTTATCTCCTAGTTGTCTAAGGTCCATTACCCTTTCTAGAATAAAAATTCTCCTTTCTCAGGAAGAATTCAACTAAGTACCAACAGGTCACTAGACATTAAAACTAACGGCTTTCTGCTGCATGCCTGTAATCCCAGCAACTTGGGAGGCTGAGACAGGAGGATCTGAAGTTCAAGGCCAGCCTGGGCAACTTAGCAAGATCTCAGAAACTTAGTGGGACCTTAAAATGTTTAAAATGGGGCTGGAGGCTGGGGATGTAACTCAGTGGGAGAGCACCCCTGGGTTCAATCCCCAGTATCAGAAAACACACACACACACACACACACACACAATCCTAACTGATATCAAGGTTATGAATGACTGATAACTTTTACGCTATTAGTCAGGGCACCTTTGTATTTTGAAAAGAATTCTTTGCACATAGCAAGTGAACAATTATCTCAGT